TGTGTGTGTGTGTGTTTTGCTTTGTTTTGTTTTAAAGTTTAATTTATTTTGGGGCGCCTGGGTGGCTCAGTCGGTTAAATGTCTGACTTCAGCCTGGGGCCATGATCTCGTGGTTAATGGGTTCGAGCCCTGCATCAGGCTCTGTGCTGATAGCGCGGAGCCTGGAGGCTGCTTCGGATTCTGTTTCCATCACTCTGCCCCTCCCCTGCTCGCACTCTGTCTCTCTCTCTCTCAAATATAAAATAAAACAAAAATAAAAAAAAAAAATAAAGTTTATTTTGAGAGAGAGGAAGACAGAGCATGAGCAGGGGAGGGGCAGAGAGACAGAATCCCAAGCAGGCTCCACACTGTCCGTGAAGAGCCTGAAGTGGGGATCAAACCCACCACCCGTGAGATCGTGACCCGAGCCAAAACCAAGATGCTTAACAGACGGAGCCACCCACGTACGCCTTGTTTTGTTTTTCATTTGTCTGTTTGTTTTAATTTTTTTAAATGTGTATTTATTTCTGAGAGAGACAGAGTGAGAGCGGGGGAGGGGCAGAGAGAGAGGGAGACAGAATCCGAAGCAGGCTCCAGGCTCTGAGCTGTCAGCACAGAGCCTGATGTGGGGCTTGAACTCATGAACTGAGAGATCATGACCTGAGGGGAAGTCGGGCACTTAACCAATTGAGCCATCCAGGCCCCTCTGTTTGTTTGTTTGTTTGTTTAAGTAGGCTTTACACCCAGCTCACACACTAGCTAGACCTGAGCTGAGATCCAGTCGGATGCTTAACTGACTGAACCACCCAGGCGCCCCAAGCATTGCTTTTTATATTAAAGCAAAATAGGAGATCTTACGGAGTAAAATTCAAAATTGGAATGTCTTTTAAAGATAAAGTACACAGAATACCAAAGCGGACTTCCTGCCTGCCTCAGTGCTCTGCTCCAAGTACCTCTGAGCCGTGTAACCCCAGCTCCTTCTCTGAGGGCCCTGGGGAAGAAGGTTGGGGCTCCGCCCTGGGGGGAAGCCCCTGAGGACCTCCCAGGGCCTCCTGCAGTTCCTACGAATCTTCTGGAAGATGTGGCCCTGCAGCGGGTGAGTGTCCTCGTGTTCCACGTTTTACATGGTAGCAGCAAATGAGAGTGTTTAGCCACAGTCCCCGCCCAGCCTCACCCGGAGCCTGGGAGGAGGGGAGGTGAAAGAAGGCACTTCTGTGAGTGTTCCTTGGGAGGAGGGGGATGAGAAAGGAGGGGAGAGGGCGGTGAGCCTCTCTCCTCCTGGACTGTGGGGAGGGGGCGGGAGACAAACACAAAGGAGTAAGGTTGCAAGGCGGCTGCCAAGACCGTGCGATGCTGAAGGCCACTGCTCAGTCGGTTGTTTGGAACTCCGGAGCTCATTTTCCCACAGAAACAAAGCTCGAGTGGAGCTCAAGGCTGGCTCCCCGCCTGGCCCAAAGGAGCCAGATTCAGCTAATAGCAACACAGCCTCAGAAGACCCTTCACACTCTCTTCCAGCGCCGGTGACCGGCAGGGGCTCTGGCGGGAGGGAGCCTGGAGACCACAGGCCCTTGGGGAAGCTCTGCCAAGGGCTCTGGCAGCCGTGGGAACTGGGGCACCGGGAGGGCAGTTCTTCAACAGGGGACAGTGCTGGGAAGCACGGTGTGTGT